TACCTGGAAAAAAGAAATAGGTCAAATTTCTCTAAAAGATCACGATCAAAAACACTTCAGAGAAGTATGAATATCTAAAATATACCAGGGAAAATGTACTGCAGAAATTATTTATTTCATGCCAACTTAACTCTTTGACTAGATATTTTAACACACATTTCAAAATATATCCAGTACAATAATTTAGAACACTACAGAGAAAAATTTGTAACTCAAGTGAATTTCAAAACAAGGTATTATGCATACATACTTGTATCATAAGGCAAAAGAAGATAGTCTATCCATAAGCAGCACTCCTACAGCCTATCTTGACATACACTGGAAAATGAAGATCTTCTGTTACTAAACCTATACTTACAAATGAATTCCCTATCTTCCAGATACCTCTACAGGAATATAAGGTATTTCTATGGAAAATAATTACCTTCTACAGTGATAACTAAGTCATCACTCTGAAAGTATTATCATTCACAGGAATATGTCAAATACAACAACATTATCCTGAAGAAATAACTGAAGTTGTGTATTATTATTGCCTGCCAATTGCAAATAAAACACACACACACACAAAAGCACGCTGAGGAATACATTCCAGTGCATTTTAATAGAAACAAAGAATAAACCTGACTGGGCGTACCATATGACTGAAACAGAAGATACCAAATATAATGCAACATAATAAATGACAGCAATTAATGTATTAGAAAGGGATCTAGTTCAAGGTGCTTTTTTGCTGAGTTTCTGTTAACATAATCAAATGGTGTAGGAGTGTCTCAGCTTCAGACTAGACTACTTAATTAGAGGCACAGCTAGTATTAGAGAACTGCCGCGAAGCAGTACATATTCCTGCAGAGCCCATCAGGGAAAAGGAATGTAAAAGTTTCAGAAAGTTTATAAGATTGACAGATAAGTTGCTCTGAAAAATTAACCATTTTCTGAATTTTGAAGAAAAATTAAAAGCTAGGAGACAATGTATACCCTAAGTAGTGTTTTTGTTAATAATTAAGATGCACATATTTGCCTACAATGAATGGGTCAGATTTCTTTAAGAAGCCTCATAAAAAGTTCTCCTTCATAAAGTGACCTCTATTTGGTATTGTAAATGCCCCTCAGATTGCAAGTAATTACAGCAATAATGAAAATTGGAACAAAATATTATAATTTTCACATAACATTTACAGTATTCCAAGATAAATTTAATAAAATACAAATTATCGTAATTACAGAAAATCAGATTAATCACTTTTTTATTACTTCATATGTAAAAATCATTGTCATGGTTATGTTTTAAAATAGCAAGAATAAATATTGAAAAGATAGCAGCTTTCTGCCATTCCCATTAATACTGTTAATGACTATTTTACAAATGCTTGATTGCAAAATAAAGGCAGATTATATAGCATGATTTTTCCAGTAGTGTAAGTTACAGTAGTATAAAGTTTGTTCTTACCTAAATAATAAAACATATCATAGTTTGCGCAAACTGTCACTATTAGCACAGACTAGAAGTTGCATATCCCTCATAAAAAGACTCCCCCACTTCACTGCTAAGAGATGCACCTTTCTTAAGCAGAGTGCAGAGGACTCATTTCCCAATACAGATATCAGAATACATATATTTTTAAACTCCTGAAAAAACAGAACTACAAATCTAGTAGGAGTAGGAAGTTTGACTAGAGCTTTTTGCTCTCCATACTTTATATGAAATCCAACACTGACACAGTATTTAAGTAGCTACTGTTTTCACTCCTGCTTTTCAAAGTTCATTACAACTTGCATGGATGCTTTTCACTGGTTTAAATCTTTGCCATGAAGATATTAAACATTTGTACTTAACTTGGGTGGGTTTTTTGGTGTTTTGGGTTTTTTTTGGTGTTCACAGATGAAGAGGAAACTGCGGAAATGATGATGAAATGGAAGTATACTCGAACTGCTCAGTAATTCAGAAAGTGAAATAATAAATACATACATACATGACATTCTTTAGCTGCAAATAAATATGACTATATACTGACAGAATAAATACACCAACATTCAGTTCCCAAAAGCAGTTTGCAAGGCAGTTGTATTTTAAATCACCTAATCTGGAGCACCAAATGTGATGCAAGAACACCATTAGCCTACATTACAGTCACTGCTTAAACATATCAAAGCTAGTTTTAACTTTTTTTTAGCTGTGGTACTGTTAGGACTAGAGCTATAGTAGCAAAGAACTCATTAAGAGTTGCCGCAATCTGGCTAGGAATCATCACAGAATCATAGTTTGGGTTGGAAGGGACCTCTAAAGGTCATCTAGTCCAACCCCCCTGCCGTGGGCAGAGACATCTTCAACTAGATCAGGTTGCTCAGAGCCCCATCCAGCCTGACCTGGAATGTTTCCAGGGATGGGGCATCCACCACCTCTCTGGAGTGGGGTAAGTCCTTAGGCACGTAGCCCTCAAGCAAGGTCTGCATTATTTGTACTACCAGTAACCAAACTAGTTTAAAACTACCTCAAGTACACAGCAAATGCTGTGCAGGCATATCCCTTATTTCTACAATGTTCTTTTATAGTTTTACTCTGTATTTCTTTGTTGAAAGTCTTCCAGATTTAGTCATATGAACTCATAATTACTTTTCAAAACGCACTGTAGATTAACTGGCCTACAAATTGCACATAATTAGAGCAAGAGTAACTGTTGGTCAGCAATGAACACTATGGAAGAAACCCGGCTTCACTTATCAACTTCTTACTTAAACACCCAGCATCCAGGGAGCATGTGACACCAGGGATCTTCAAGCACGATCCAGAGCAGAACTCTTGAGAGATTTTCAGAGCACTAATTCCCATGCTTTCAAGAAGCAGCCACTGGTTACTCCATTACTTCACTGCAACATCAAAAAAAGGTCAGTGGATTCCCACCTCAATGAGCTCAGAATTTCTATGTTAGCAACTGAAATCCCACTGCCATTAATTTATACAGTCAACTCCTCAAATTATTGTATCCCAACGAAAACTGCACAGAGGGCTTACTCCAGGGACTAGTTAGTTTTTGTATATAAAATCCTGACCAAGTTTCCACTGAAAATTCTGTTTGCAGCCATTCCACTGATTTCTGAGAGGGGAAAAAACAGGCCCCAAGAAGGCTTGATCCAAATCTCTAAAGTCAGCAGGGCCGAGGTAAGGATATTGCACAAGCATTCAGAAAAACAAACGTTCCTTCTATAATTTTTCCGTTAGCACTGAATTAGATCCCTTTGTAGTGACATTTCAAGAGTTAAACAAAGAACCTTCATCCAAAGATTTTTACAAACAAACTTTTGGGCAATTAAGTGAGAGACGAATTTTAAAAATAGAAATATCAAGTCTAAGAACATTCATCTGGATGGATGTCCAAGAACATATACAACCCCTTTCATGTAAAGCTGAATTCAGGATAGCATTGCTAAGTAGATCTAAAATAAATTAAATAGGTGCTAACACAAAGCTGCTAAAGAACAATCTGAATAAAAATAGTCTCGTTTTCTCAACTTCCAGTCCCTGACACAGCCATAAGATTTTGATCAAGCTTTTACAATACAGAAAATACCCAAACTAAAAACGTGCCCTCTTACAGGGAATCTGGAAATTGCATGAGCTTGAATACATGTGGGTATGGCTGTCGTTCAGTGTATTCACCTAAGAACAGAACTGACGATTATTTTATGTCTGCCAATTTATTAACATAATTCTTTCTATACAGAGTACCTTCATAGTAACAATTCAGTGTTTTAAAACAGGCAGATCAATATATTACAAATACCACTACTGTTAGAACGCATGATGTACTAAATCACAGGAGGTAGTTAGATTCCCATTAACAATTACTTCAGAAAACAAAGACTATTTTTAAAAATTAGTAGAATACCTCATTCATGAAAATTTACTTTTCAGAATAACTCATTCCTAGCTGCTTTAAGGGATGTCTGTTTTTTAAGCATGATAAAGAATTTATGATAGAAACATGTTCTCTTTCAGTTTTCAACATAACTTTGCAATAAGCACATAAGAAAACTCCCAAGTGGTAAAGACTGAAGACAAACTGCAGTAAAGCAACATTTTAAATTAATCAAATTTCCAAATATATCATGAATTTGACCACATCTTTTACCTTATGATTACATTTGAAAATTCATTCAACTAACTACGGTTTAAAAGTGTATCTACACCAATGAAATTAATGTGAAGCTTTTTTACACTGTTAATAATTGGCATTTTTGAATAGCATTCAAATGAATAAGCATTATTCTTTTTTGCAACAACTTACTGCAAAATACAGGCACCATAGAAACAGATACATAATGCAACCAGGGCATTTGGGACGTTAAAAGTGTTTACCATTATCTAGTCATGCTATGTATTTCCCTTCTTTTAAAGAAATACTCTACAATTTGAAGCCGTGCCTGAGGTGTGTGCAAATCATGATGTTTCAGCATTTAACTCAATTTTCACATTGTATTTCTTTTACAGTAACAAAAACATTAGTGTGCCAATATTTTCAACTGTTACAACTGTAAAAATCTTAAGCAGACATCGTATCTTCGATAATGTATTCTTGCTATTGCACATATGCTCATATGACAGTGAAACTCTGGTCCTTATTCAATGTCAACTATTTACACATGCTAAAATAATTTATCTGCATATAATGTTGGAAAAGAAAAAATATAGCCTTTCTTGACCAATACATCTTGCTCCAAAATTTATGCCACCAAATTTCATAGAATCATAGAATCACAGAATACCAGGTTGGAAGGGACCTCAAGTATCATCTAGTCCAACCTTTCTTGGCAAAAGCACGGTCTAGAAACTGTCCAGTCGAAACTTAAAAATGTCCAATGTTGGGGAATCCACCACTTCCCTGGGGAGACTATTCAATGGCTGATTGTTCTCATTGGGAAAAATTTTCCTTGTGTCCAATCAGAACTTCCTCAGGAGTAACTTGTACCCATTACCCCTCGTCTTTTCCATGTGACTCCTTGTAAAAAGGGAGTCTCCATCTTCTTTGTAGCCACCCTTTAAATACTGGAACATGTGTTTTACGATTTTATGAAGAACAGCCTGCCATTCAATCTTTCTGCTTATACACAGACTGATTCAAAGACCACTGAAGCCAAAAGAAACCTTAACTTAATTCAGTAGATTTTGGACTAGGCATAAAGCTCAAATAGAAAAATTATAGAAAGTGTTTACTATAGTAATTGACATAACTGCACTTTGGATGCATTAAGATGCTCTCACAGCATCTGTTAAAATACAAAAAAATTCCTTCCAAAAAATCCTCTTCCTAAAACTTACAATGTTACAGTTCAAGTTGAGCCCTAGGTATATTTATGAAGTTTACCCTCTATTTACTTAATAGTTTTCTCCTTTTGGTCACAACACAAAAGCCCACACTGACGCACAACAATATCCAGTATCTACAATAGAAGAAGCATATGCTTGTCATAAGTAGTCAAGTTATCATACAGGTGCACTTCCAAAATAGTTGTTCCTTCATATTCTTTTTTTAAACAAAAATGGTCTTTTCTGGTTCAGTGATATATCATAAATACAGTATTTTCCAAGCAATGAGTAGGAAAAAGATTTCCGCTGAATATTCCGCTTTGAAGAGTTTAGACATCATCAAATATTTTGCTTCGAGACATTGACAGGTATCTTCCACCAGGTTGGTACCTGCAGAATCAATTTTAAATATGAAAAAGTATCACAAGAAATAGAATAATAAAGACCCATGAAATCGTATAAATCTCACTACACTCTTACTCCTTAACTCTCAATGAATTACAGGATCTGAAGTTCTACTGAATTACTGTTTCCATGAGAATTTGATAGGCAGTCATTAAATTAAACCTCATGTGACCAAGAAAAACAGTGATATGAATACTGGGAGTCTTAAATAACTTTGTTTCCTGATACAAAGGAAAGAAGTTGAATGTTTTTGTTGAACAGAACTTTTTTTTTTTAAACAAAAAAAAGCAAAAGAAGAACAACAGCATCCAAAAGTAGTTAATCCAAATGAGATTAACATCTCATTGGGTATTCCTAAGAGAAATACAGTATCAAAGATAATGAAAACAAATGGCTGCATACTTAGTGGGCAAAAAAGAAGCTTCACAAATTGTTGGTCAAATATATTTTATTTTAAAAGCACAAGTAAGTTCCAATGAAAGCACAATGTACTTCCTCTCCACAGTACTTACCAAAACCTGAACAGACAGAAAGTCAGAACCTAGTGTCCCTAGTGCTCTTACTGTCCTAGAATGCTTGTAACTATTGCAGGAGCTATAGTTTTGAAAATCAATGTTACACAAGGTATTTTTAAGTCAATTGAAATGTCATATGCAATTATTCTTGATTTATTACCTCCATGAAATGAAATACAGATTATTAGAGGAAAGCTCAACTAAGCTCTGTGGCTCCGGATTTTCTTTTTAAAGAAAAGTTCAGAATGTTCCACTCTGCAAAGTCCGTATAGGTGCCAGAAGACTTCAGATACTGTACTTGAAAAGTATTTGCTCCAGAAGAATTACATATGCATATTCCTATTTTTGTAGACTGTTATCCCTTTCACACTGTAAGGAAGTCAACAGCTGACAGAACTGCTAGGCTAGTTCCTCTTTAAACTCTTCTGCTTAAAAAGAACCAACTTTTGCAATGTGGTGACATTAGACTAGACTAGTTAGTTGTTGATACAAACTAACATTGCTGAATAAATCTGTAAAACCTGGCAGTGTTATTTAACAGCATTCTTTGCATGTTTTTGAACTGGCATTTATTTGTTGATATTATAGATATAAGTCAACTGAAACCATTTATGACTTTTTTATTGGATTGGGTATGCTAGTTTTAGCTGAAATATAATGTAAACTAACTTTTTATAAGGGAAATTAAAATTATTTATCATTAAATGGTTCTACAGCATAACTAGCTAGATAAAAAAAGCACCCATAAAATGTATAACTTTTTTCTTAAATATGAGCAGAGCTTAGCAGTCATATAAGATACTCTATTTCACAACTAAGAAAATTCGGTGTTGCAGTCACATCCACAGAATCACAGAATTCTCTATGATAGACAGAGCTACACTGTGCAGTCTGGGACGTTTTGTTCAGTATGTCCAGATTTTAATTTACTCCAGTTCCAAGATCTGATCCCCAGGTGTATTCCTGCAACTACTGGTCCTGCAATACTCAGTTTTTTTATTGCAGCCCTTCATGATGGTTTTTATACACAGAAATCAAGTGAGCTTTCTAAAGTCTTGTAGGACATTAGAGAAAACTTTATATTGTACATATGCAGGTCATTCTCCAGTTTTCTGGTTTTATATGCAGTATTTTTCAGATTATGCCAATACACAAAATTACATTCAACTCAACTCTTACTCAGACATTTCTAAAAAACTGAAAAGCCTTCATGTTTCAATTGGTTTTAAAACAATTCCGGTATCATGGGGAGAGGAAGAAAGGAAAAGAGCTCGGTGAGATGATAAATTTTGTTTACAAAACTATTGTTATGATACCATCTGATACAGCTGTCATAGGTCAGAAGACAGAATACATTAGTATATTTTAATTGTAAATAACACAAAAGATTCCTCACCTTCCCGAGTCTGCTTCAAGAGGGTCATCATTAATTGAGTCTGCGTTGAAATCCAAAGGTTCTGCATCCTGGAGGAGTTCTATTCTATCTCTTTCAGTCCTACCATTTGATCGGGTATACTTTGATAGTGCTGAATAGGTAAAAGGAAAGACAGACACTCATTTGCTCTATGAACATCTTGGGAGTGTGTGGAGACATCAAACTTAAAAGACCAGAATAGTAATTTGCTAGTATCTCATCCAAAGTGTAAGTGCAATGATTTAGAATAGATATAATATTAAACCAAACCTGGCTACATGCTCAAATTTGTAGTATTTAATTTTTGTATCACCAGAGCAATGTAACTACAACTTTTCTTTTGCCCCTCAAGTAGGATGAGATCTACTTTGCAAAGAATCAAAGAAAATGAGAAGTTATGTGCAAACTTTACTTTTAAATCAATAAATCATCCATTCATCTTCCCAATTTTCTACTTTGACTAAGCTAGCTAGAGGGTTTTTTGGTTTGGTTTGTTTTTAAAGAGGCAATCTCATGAGTTAATGAAATATAGTTGTTTTGCAGTTCACTCTGCCACCTTCACTAGGCCAGCACCTACAGCTTGTTTTGGTGTTGGAATGCTACATATGGAATGCTGAGAAGGACTTGGGGGTTTTGGTTGATGAGAAGCTCAACATGACCCGGCAATGTACGCCTGCAGCCTAGAAAGCCAACCATGTACTGGGCTGCATCCAAAGAAGCGTGGCCAGCAGGTCAAGGGAGGTGATTCTCCCCCTCTACTCTGCTCTGGTGAGACCCCACCTGGAGTACTGTGTCCAGCGCTGGGGCCCCCAACATAAGAATGACATGGACCTGTCGGAGTGAGTCCAGAGGAGGGCCACGAAGATGGTCAGAGGGTTGGAGCACCTCTTCTATGAAAACAGGCTGAGAGAGTTGAGGTTGTTCAGCCTGGAGAAGAGAAGGCTCCGGGGAGACCTTACAGCAGCCTTCTAGTACCTAAAAGGTCCTACAAGAAAGCTGGAGAGGGACTTTTTACGAAGGCATGTAATGATAGGACAAGGGGTAATGGCTTTAAACTGAAAGAGGGTACATTCAGATTAGATATAAGGAAGAAATTCTTCACTGTAGGGTGGTGAGGCACTGGAACAGGTTGCCCTGTGAAGCTGTGGATGCCCCATCCCTGGAAGTGTTCAAGGCCAGGTTGGATGGGGCTCTGAGCAACCTGGTCTAGCAGAAGGTGTCCTTGCCCATGGCAGGGGGGTTGGACCTAGATGATCTTTAAGTTTCCTTCCAACCCAAACCATTCTATGATTCCATATTCATATGCTTAACATTAAAATATAATTACATATAATTTCAGTTAGTCTACCACTGAAAATCCGGGTTTCCAACTTTGTAAAGAGGAGGGGGAAATCTACCAGAGTTGTTTCAAAAGCATGTTCAAAGTTTCCCTCCTCCCCCTTTTTCCTTCTTTTTTTCAGTTTCATTTCTCACTTCTTGTTAGCTTACAAGAGTACATAAAAAACATTAACACTGTGACAAATAAGCCTTTTGGAAGTTTAGCGCATCCACAAAAAAGTTTTTTTGCTAAGAGACGTTATTAAATGAACATGTATACACTCATGTGATATGTTACTGGCTTTACATTCGTTGGCCATTTATTTGATTATTCCATTATTCCAGTCTGAGAGAGTTCATTTGCAACTAGAAGAGGTAAATTTTAAGATTTAAAACTCCCAACTTCAAGACACATCCTAAATAAAGTCTCTTTGTTGACAACTGCTATTCTAATGGCAATCACCATTAGAAGACCAAGTAATTGAGACTAGCCAGAATCTCCAACCTCAACTAGTTGAAGTGTTGAAGATGGGAACAAATACAGCACTCTCTTCAGGTGTCTTTAATGGGCAAGATGACACTGTGCCACAGAAGAGAATATATCACTACATCATATAAGAAAAAAGGAATCTATTTGAAGCTACTCACATAGCCAGTATTGTGCAGACAAGATATTAAAAAACCAAACCAAAACAAACTCCCTCCAAAACCCACAAAGCTTACATCTGTTGGTATTGGTCTCTGAGAAGCTGGATTCTTTTTGGTCTGTGTGGACAACTCTGTTTCTAGTGGAATCGTCTCTATTTCCATACCGCTCCTTCCATTCCTGGAAAAAAGACAAAAAAAGAAAACACAAGCTGTGAGGAAAAAGTAACACAGCAAAAGCGTACATAGGATCAAGAAATATTCCAGACCCACAATTTAGAGCTAATTGGTCAATCACATCAGACTATGAAAGTAATACTTTGAAAATGTTCCCATTCAGTATCTTGATACAGGAAGAATTTTTGTTTTGTTTTAAACTGAAGATATGTCCCTTCACTAAACCAGTTACCATAGCTGTTTTATAAAAAAAAGACTTGCAGAAAACAAACTGCATGTTAAATTTGCACTCAAAGTTCACTCAACTGCCCTAAGTTACAGTGGGAACGTTGCTTTTTTTGATTTCTACTTCCATCTAGGGGTAGAATGGTAAAATAACGAGATGCTGATAGCACAAATAACCATTTGCATAGGCCATGTTTACTACGCTTGTTGTTCTATTGTGTTCCCATTCCATCATGTTTTAGTATGTAAACATTTTAGAATGAAGCATAATGAAATATTAAAGAAGCTAATGTCTCATGCTCTTATTAGACATGTCTCAGTAGAAACTTTTCCAATTGCTCCAATAACTTTAATATGTTTCAGCTTCATCTCTAGATCCCAGATTATGGACTGGTAGGAACTGGTATACTCAAAGTTACTGTGCTGATTTATGCCATATGTTACAGCTCTAAGCTGCAGAAGGATCAAGCATTTAATCATGATCCAGTAAAAGACAGCACTCTCAAAAGCCCCAAAAGTTTCAAGAAAGAATGTGCTACAGTATTTAGCGCAAACTCAAAAAGCAGGTAATATCTGAAATTGAGTTTGCTGTTGAACTAAAATTGTTGCTTAATGTCAGATCATTTCAGTGTACACTAAATGTATCATGCAGTTGCTACTATTTGGTTTCACAGTAAGTTCAAGTTCTAAAATTATGAGATGGGGGCGAGAGGATCAGAAGGTCTATGCAATATTGGCTGTCATCCATAATTTAAGTATCCCTGAGCTTGAAAAGCTGAGAAGTTTTAGTCCCAGTATTATCTTGCCTTTCTGCAGAAAATATTTTCCCCTTCCTTTAGTCAGTTCATTTTTTGCATGCATCCTTTCGATTTATCTGTGACTTTCTATGCTAAATTCCAAATGTTATAAATTAATGAAAAACTAAAGCTATTATTAACTGAAGCTCCTTAAAATGAAGCTGCCTGAATTATTTTTTATTCAGATTGACTGCCTTCACAAATCTTTCAATTCAGTATACACTCAAAGTATGATCTGAATCAAACATTCTGTTTGTTACTCAGTGGTAACAGTATTAATTCTGTCTCAAATGTAATTCCCTCCTCTGTAAAAAAAAAAAAAAATCTGTGACAATTACTTTCCAATGAGCACACAAAGCAACGGCTAAGTTTGGGAAGAGCATACAGTCCCCTTTTCAGTGAATATGATGACACTGCAACTGCAGTTATTTCAAGCAGAGCAGTATCAACATAAAAGACTGATAATAAGCAATTTCAGATTATTCTGCATCCTAGAAATCAGGACCTTTTTTAATGCTTGTTATACCTATTGGCATACACCATTCTCACAGCACACTGAGTAACAAAAATTTCCAAGTAGTGTGACCACAATCACTCTCTTATCCTTTAAAATTAAAATGTAAATTATTCCCCCCCCCCCCAGCCAAGACTATTCTGCAAGATTAAACTGACTCCATCACTTATTGGAGACTTATTTTTTTGTGAAATAGATCATTCTGAATTAAACAGCAATGGCAAATCCTATCAGATATTGTAGCATATTAATATTATAATTAGTTGAAACAATCTCATACCCTTCTTCTGTTTTCACCTTCTTCCTGCCTTTGTCGTTTTCTTTTCTCTATAAATAAAAAAAATTGTCTGTATCTCCATACAAGAAAAATCATTACCAATTTTTTTTTAAACAAACAATGAATATCCAAAGTTAACTAGCAAAGATTCTTATTGAAATACATGGCTCATACAATTAAATAAAAACAAAAGACAAAGCTGCTTGTTACAGAGTTTCCTATTAAAATGAATTCAACACAATGATATCTTGGGTCAAGGCATAATATTTGGATACCAGCTGGCAAAGCAAAAAAGAAAAACCCTCTTAGAAATAGTTGGAAGAAGTATGGCATTAAGAAGAAACTTGAGCATTATTGAATCAAAATCTTGCTGAAGTTCTATGACGTGAAAAGTATGACCCTAATAGTTTGTGTCCTTATCTGCTACTGAGCTGGAAGTGTAACATCACGGTATCAAAGAAACAGTAACCTCTTGTTTAAGGGAATGAGAGACATTCCTCTTTCTCCAAAAAAAGAACTACTACTACTCTAAGTAAATCTAGCTTTTGTTTTTCATAAACTATGAAAGGGGAATGAAAGTATTCCATAATATAACATTGTATCCAGAGATTTTAATTTCTAAACATTTACTCAAGAACCACAACAGCTTTTAACAACTTTCAAGAAGCACTTTCAATAAAAATTAACATAAAAAGCTCTCCAAAACAGCAGATAATTACAGTTCTACAGAACAACATGCTTTGTGTGATAAAACACAGTTAGTTGAAACAGCAAAAAATACTACAGGAAATGACAGAATTTGGGCAGCTCAATCAACACACTTACACAAAGAAAGATTAAAATTAGTTTGTTGATGATAACAATTTAAGTGCTAACTATCCTTTGATAGTTTTGCCTATGACAGATTACACAAGCACCTGCTCAGGTATTATTAGATCAGTAATGACTTCAGAGGAGCACCACTTAACTGAACGGTAAAATATACAGAAATATCTAAAATTCAGATACTGGATGAGTAAAGCTGATACTTTACTTCAGATGTCAATGAAGTCCAGCGCTGTTTATATAGCAACCACAATGCTGTAAGTCTATTGCATTTTGTGCAGTAGACTGCCTCAGTACAGTTTTCAAAATATTGACAAGCTATATGCTTTTATTTTTTGTGTAACATTTCAGACAAGTTTAATGTAATAACAGATTATATTTTACAAAAAGACTAGGATAGAGGACCTGTCTTACCTCTTCTGATTAGCTCTTTTCCTTCATCGATCAAATCAGAGGTCATTTCGCTATCCCCCATGAACTGCTGGAATCCCAAAAGATTCAAACAACGAGTTCCTAAACTGGTAAAAGCAGAAGGAGAAGCAATTTCCTTCGTTAATTTACAATTAATAGTTTAGATGTATTACACTGCAAAATGTAAAACAAATTATTCAGATATTTATGGACAATTCAAGTAAAAAAGCAGTATAGAAGAAAAGATAGATTATTATACTAGCCGAGAAATCAGAACATTCAGAACAGCGACACGTTCCTAAATCCAATTGAAAGTGATGGAATAATCCTACTGAAATAGAGAGATAAAACTATTTATTGTCTGAGTAGTGCAAACGATTTAAGATAGACAATTGCTTGAAATGTTCTCAGATATAACAGAATTTATACCTATGATATCTTATTGACTCCTCTTTGACAGAAGACAATTACTATAAAAATTTTGTCTATTATGATTTCTGTGTTTTTGAAACAGTAATAACATAAGAAAGCCACCTTCCTCTCAGGTTTTACTCAGGAGAAATGTGTGGCATACTCTTAAGCTGCAGGGATGCTGGCTGCCATTTTGGATAGCCATTAGGCAGCAGTCAGATAATAAGCTTGCTCCATCTTTTTTAAGCTAGTCCTGGAACTAAATAGCATGAAACCACTTTCACCTTTCCAACTTCACACCAGAGAACACAACTGCCGTTTTTGTTATGGTTTGTTGTTTTTTATTGAGCAAACTGTATTTGATGCTCCAAACTGGAGCATCAATATCATGTTCAAAATTGACTTCATTGTATATTATGCTGAAGAGTTTTTTTCCTGTACTATCTGAACTTTAAGATTGCTGGATTAAACAAGGGAGACAGCTTTCCTTGATAGATTTTAATTAAACATTCAGTTTTGCATGTATCTGAATTATTAGAGGGCATTAACGTTCAAGCAAAGCAATTTCCTCTCCTTTAGTTTCTTTTCTTCCTTTTCACTATGGCATTCAAGACCCAGGATCATCATGGACAAGAAGTCACACAAACTATTTTCTTGTCATTGGCTTTCCTGTTTGCTTTTTGTGGGTTTTTTTTGCCTCCACCACCACTTTTGTCACCTAACCTAAAGGTAAGCAGGGAAAACCTAGGACTGGATCCTTGTCTTACTATCTATGGACGCACATAGGATACTAATGGACATTCAAGGCATTTAACTACATTCTACATGACCCAAAACATATACATTGCTTCTGACTAAATGGTAATGCAAAATTGAACAAGTGAACATAAATGTAGCCGAGCAACGTCGGACCGAAAGTATCTCATCCCTTACAGTGGTCAAAAGCAGACATTTTGAAACGTAAAGATAAAGCAAGCATATAACAGTATTTTCTGCAATTACCTTTCCAGCTTCCAGCAACCTGTGGCTTAAGGAAACAAGATTAAATGGTTTAAACCACTATGCTTTCAAACTGAAGTCTGGTAACAGATCAGAAATTTGTTACGAGTCTGTTTGAAAGTTCATTACCTAGTTTCTGCTAATGCTTCTTAGTTTATTAGAAAACCTTGCTGAAAACATAGCTTCCTCACAGTAATTTTAATGTCAAAAGCAGAATCTAAACGTTTGTGGGCTCCAAAGTTTGAACAGATCAGACCTCAAAATCTAGGAATGAAGTTTAATGGGGAAAAAAACCCCACAACTCAGTTATGAGTTAATACAATAGATATTCTTAAAATGTACACATTCAACATACATAAATAGCAATTTCTTGTTTTAGTTTTTGCATTTTTATTAATATGTCACAACTCAACTGCTGGAAGAGGAGAAGTGAATCTCTTCCTGATTGCTGAAACGAGTATTAATGTAAAGAAACGTGGAGGATCTGCCTTGCAAATCACTTACCTAAAGTATGTGGCAATACAGAGAATGACAACAAGCATTGGGTAATATATATAGAATCCATCTGCAATGAAGGACAGCACTCTCATGGATCCCATTATCTGGAAAAAAATCCACAAGAACAATCTCAAATCAGATATATTCTACATAAATCCATAAAGATTGTGCCATCTGACTGTTTTCAGTCCACAACACACAAACACACAATCCTTTACAGTTACTGAAACATAGGTAAGTATTATCATCACAGATCTGATTCAGACAGTTGACCCAGAATGCCCAGATATAAAGGCCACCTCTAACAGTGTATCCACTTTGAGGTTTCTAAGATGCTAGATCTTGTTGTCTCACCCAATCCAGAACCAGTTCAAATCTGGTGAATCTTTTAATCTGCTGTGAAAAGTCTCTGGACAACGCTAAGTGTCTTCTTGCTAACAACAAAGATGTGAGATGTAATACACCGTATGTTATACGCCGTAAGAAGAATGGGCGGGGAAGACGACCGGCCTGGCTGAACGGGGAGCTTTTCCTGGGACTCAGGAAAAAAAGGAGAGTTTACCACTTGTGGAAGAAGGGGCAGGCGACTCAAGAAGAGTACAGGGATCTTGTATAGGTCATGCAGAGAGGAAACGAGAAAGGCAAAAGCCCAGCTAGAACGCAATCTGGCTGCTGTCGTTAAAGACAACAAAAAATGTTTTTACAAATACATTAATGACAAGAAGAGAGCCAAGGAGAATCTCCATCCTTTATTGGATGCGGGGGGGAACATTGTCACCGAGGATGAGGAAAAGGCTGAGGTTCTTAATGCCTTCTTTGCCTCAGTCTTTAACAGGCAGGCCGGTTATCCTCATGGTACTCAGCCCCCTGAGCTGGAAAACAGGGACGGCGAGCAGGATGAACCCCCCATAATCCAAGAGGAAGCAGTCAACGACCTGCTACGCCACCTGGATGCTCACAAGTCTATGGGGCCGGATGGGATCCACCCGAGGGTGCTGAGAGAGCTGGCGGAGGAGCTCACCAAGCCACTCTCTATCATTTATCATCAGTCCTGGTTAACGGCAGAGGTCCCAGACAACTGGAGGCTTGCCAATGTGACGCCCATCTACAAGAAGGGCCAGAAGGAGGATCCAGGGAACTACAGGCCTGGCAGCCTGACCTCAGTGCCGGGGAAGATTATGGAGTGGTTCATCTTGAGGGCCCTCACAAGGCAGGTGCGGGGCAACCAGGGCATCAGGCCCAGCCAGCACGGGTTCATGAAAGGCAGGTCCTGCTTGACCAACCTGATCTCCTTCTATGACAAGGTGACCCGCCTAGTGGACGAGGGAAAGGCTGTGGATGGACTTCAGTAAGGCCTTTGACACCGTCTCCCACAGCATCCTCCTAGAGAAGCTGGCGGCTCACGGCTTAGACAGGTGTACTCTGCGCTGGGTCAAAAACTGGCTGGACGGCCGGGCCCAGAGAGTTGTGGTGAATGGAGTTCTATCCAGTTGGCGGCCGGTCACGAGCGGTGTTCCCCAGGGCTCAGTTTTGGGGCCGGTCTTGTTCAATATCTTTATCCATGATCTGGATGAGGGGATCGAGTGCACCCTCAGTAAGTTTGCAGACGACACCAAGTTGGGTGGGAGTGTTGATCTACTCAGGGGTAGGAAGGCTCTGCAGAGGGACCTGGACAGGCTGGATTGGTGGGATGAGGCCAACTCGATGAGATTCAACAAGGCCAAGTGCCGGGTCCTGCACTTCGGCCACAACAACCCCATGCAGCGCTACAGGCTTGGGGAAGAGTGGCTGGAAAGCTGCCTGGCGGAAAAGGAGCTGGGGGTGTTGGTCGACAGTTGGCTGAACATGAGCCGGCAATGTGCCCAGGTGGCCAAGAAGGCCAATGGCATCCTGGCCTGTATCAGAAATAGTGTGGCCAGCAGGAGTAGGGAAGTGATCGTGCCCCTGTACTCGGCACTGGTGCGGCCGCACCTCGAATACTGTGTTCAGTTTTGGGCCCCTCACTACAAGAAGGATGTTGAGATGTTGGAACGTGTCCAGAGAAGGGCAATGAGGCTGGTGAGGGGTCTGGAGAAAAAGTCTTATGAGGAGTGGCTGAGGGGACTGGGGGTGTTTAGCCTGGAGAAAAGGAGGCTGAGGGGAGATCTTATCACTCTCTACAACTACCTGAAAGGAGGCTGTAGCAAGGTGGGTGTTGGCCTCTTCTCCCAAGTAACTGGCGATAGGACGAGAGGAAATGGCCTCAAGTTGCGCCAGGGGAGGTTTAGATTGGATGTGAGGAAAAATTTCTTTACTGAAAGAGTGGTTAAACATTGGAAGAGGCTGCCCAGGGAAGGGGTTGAGTCACCATCCCTGGAGGGATTTAAAAGACGTGTAGATGAGGTGTTTAGGGACATGGTTTAGTGGGCATGGTGGTGTTGGGTTGACAGTTGGACTTGATGATCTTAGAGGTCTTTTCCAACCTTAATGATTCTATGATTCTATGTAACTTGCTGTCCTACAGAAATTGGTTGTTCAGTAAAACCGAACTCACTGGTTTTCATTGGCAAGTTAGGTTTGTTCCCAATCTATAAAGATGTCCTATACGCTAAAGCCAGTGGAAGCTAAAGCTATTAGGACATGAAGAATAGTCTGAACTCTTCAGCACGATATTTTACTTTCTTAGGATAAAGAGACCAAAACCGAAAAATTGAGCTATTGATGACTCCTGTGTAGACAGCAATCATTACCAGACTCCTGGTCTATAAGTAAAGTATTTCTACCATGTTCAATACCAGTGAAAAGATTTGAGTATCTGAATCTTACTATAAGAAGTATTGAAAAATATTTTGCCTATTCTCCAAATCATATGGAAACCTCAAAAATCACATTTTCTGTACTCACAGACGTATAAGCAGTTGGCTGAGTGTTTTTGTGTGAGATAGTTGCATCCATATGGGTCAAGCCCAAAAAGTTCAAGCATAATGGTGGAGTAAGACGGCAAAATAACCTGCACAAATGCAAAAGACAACACAATTTAAAACAATTTCTTGCAGTAAAAATATTGGAACAGGCTGCCCAGGGAAGTGGTTGAGTCACCATCCCTGGAAGTATTTAAAAAACGGGTAGATGAGGCGCTTAGGGACATGGTTTAGTGGGCATGGTGTTGTTGGGTTGATGGTTGGACTCGATGATCTTGGAGGTCTCTTCCAACCTTAATGATTCTATGATTAAGAAATCATAACTGGATATATCACAGAATCATGATGTACAGCTCATTAGGATTTATACCCATATGATTATAAATGAAAGAATAAAAATGAAAGTTTCATGGACATTTTCAATTGAGAATTTGACAGAAAACCCACAAAATATGTGCCACATACTCACATGCCACTGAAAAGGAGACTGTATGCATCTGTCTGATGATGTGAAGCTAAGTAATAATAGTTAAATACACGGATCCTGAAGACAGTAGAGTAAACACAGATACTTAGGAAAAAGATGGTAAGAAAACAGGCCATCTGGGGGGAAAAAAAAGTTTCAGTGTAGAACTCTACTAAAGGTTTTAATATATTCAGCACATAGTCTGTGCATGCAACAGGCTGACTGCAGTCTAATTTTTCATTTTGAGATAGGACAATAACACCAGCTATGAGAAGAGTTTCAGGAGTTTTTTTGACTAATTTACATTGAGAATGATACTTGCAACATTCTGCACTTCATATAAGCTAACACAACTGACCCTAGGAACATTTATTCCCACAAAAAGTGATAAAAACAAGCATTTGCAATTCAACCTATTTTGTTACTATACTGGAATTTTTCAGCTCAGTTCCTTTACTGATGAATTTGTGCGCACATATGCTAGCCACACCTGTGACTGGATTTCTGACCAGCAGCAAATTCCTGTTTAGGGAAGAGAGGTTACACACATGGTTGATTAGACACCAAGTCTAAACACATAAGCTCCAAGCTAATGTTTCACAAATTACTCTACACATTATATTGAGCTCAACTGGGTCACACCTTCACCCCATATTGGAGAGTTACAAGAAACGGCAAAATGCAGAATCCCTCCACAGAAACGAAGTTTGGCATTATATACTTTAGAGACCTTCTGAAAGTTGAGAGACTATTTAGAGACATTTTTAAATCAATCTGGTCTACTATTATTGTAATAACAATCTATCTGAAAAGATAATTGTTGAGTGATTATCTCAAACTTACCTCTATGTAGATATAATTATATGTCTTTTCTGCCAGCTGTATGAAAACTGCAAATAGTGATAAAACTGGTTTTGTGCTGAAAAATGTGCACTCCGACCACACAACAATTACAGAGAACGTGGCCAGAACAACTGCAAGCACCCTGTAAAACCATGGTCGTAGAAGACATTCCCAGTACCACTCTGCAAAAAAACAAACACACACACACATCTGGAATTGATTAATGAAAATTACACAACCAGAAATGGAACTCCCTCACAAAAACTGTTGTGAACTTCTTCCACATATGCCCTTAAAAATCAAGGCTGGAATCTGTGGGTTCACACACTTAATTTCAGGGTTTTTCCAATGCTTAGAGATCTGGCTCAGCCCTAAGGAATCATATGCACAACTGGGGAAAACAGGGTGGGATTTGGGAAGCAAATTTTGCAAATGGATTGAGGGGGCGGAGGGTGTAGAAAAGAACTCTTCACTTTTGGCCCAGATACTATGGGTGATCCACTTTTTGTTTGTTCATCTGTTACTCTCTCAGAAAGAAAGCTTAGGCTGTAAAATTATATTGTCCTACCCTGGAAATAACTCATTGCTAGTGCACAACAAATCAGTTAAAACATGATTAGGAGAAGACACTTTCTAAAAGGATGCACAAGCAGCCGCATGTCCTAATGTTCAGTACATGACAGACGAAGAGTCCTTTCCTCTTTGCTTTACTGCAAGAACGGTGCCACCTCAATAATATCCCACAAATGTAGAAGGTAGCCACGATCCAAAAATTTAAAGTTGCTATTTTTCTTTCTTCTTCTAAGGCTTCAAAGTTTGCTATTACTATTACAATATGTAACTGCTATTAAATTTGTAAAAAAATTCAAGCTTATGGTCAAGAGCATAAATCAATACCTGATGGCTATTCCATTACATAAATGCATTAAGATGCACATTTGCTTCCCTCTACTGTAACTGATCTTTTTCATAAAACAATCGGTTCTTCTTACAAAACTAGTTATTCCTTTACATATTCAAAATCTGCATGACAGCACTTACCAACACTTGGTGTGTAGAAATACCGAATAATTTTATTCTCTGGTTCCTGGGAATGAAAGGTATGAACAAACTGTCGAGTTGCACTGGTTTCATTTTTTGCCACATCTTCTAGGTAAAATGCTTGTTCTAAAAGAATTTGCCACTGGACCTGTGTACGACGATGTCTCTGTACTGAATAGATTACCTATAATAAATTCCAAGAAATTATGGTTACAACATACTTGCTTCAAGAAATGAGAGAAAAGCTTTGCAAAATCCCTTAGAAATGTCTACATTACAGAATTGCAAAGATTAATTCTGTATACTCATAAAAGCAGTTAATTCTCTAAATATATAAATCATTAAGAGGACTACATGCATGACTCCTGAGTTTTGCAGTTCTTTCATCACAATCTATCTGTAGCAATAACAGCCTACTTTTTCCAACATACCACTTTATTTTTGCATCTTAGTGAATACCAAGCTTTTACTACAATTTCTTTTTTAGAATGCACTGTCAATCAACCATTACAAGGCTTACTTGCAGACAGTTAAAACACTGTCAAGATATAACGCAACAAGAACACTTTTAACACATCCGGAAATTTGATCTGGACACCACTTGGGCTATTAAACTTCTATGTTTTCTTTCACTGAGAAAAGTTCCCGTTAAGTAGCAATCCCAAACCCCACTATACTCAGCAATACAGGTAAAGTACATTGAAAATCTTTGTTTCACTGGCATTTATTCTCATTACTTTAGTGTAAGTGAGGCATTCTCTCATTTATTAATATACCTGCTTGTGAAGTTTGACCAAACTTTTTTCACTTGGATAACTGTTCTGTCTTTCATCAAAATCTTCATAATCATCCATGTTCCTACCCATTCTTTCCTGGTACTCAGTAGGACACTGGAAGGAAAAGGGAAAATTAACTGGAAGACAAAGGAGTAGGAAGTGCTCTTTGTTAATTATTTGTAAACGTTTGGGGCATTTCATGCAACTGAACAGCTCACTAAATGTAGATTTTTCTGTTTCTAAAATACTACATATGTCAAAATACAGCAGATAATTACATACATCATAAGAAAGCATTCCACAAAGAACTTCAACTCCAAGTCTTGTCAGAAACTTACAAGATGCCAATTAGATATTTTATGTTACGGGGAAAAGAAAATAATGTACAAGTATTCAATAGGTGCAGGAAGCGTGCCCTCCCAATTGAACAATTATGGCTAAAGATGAGCAATTTGTTACCTTTTTCAGTATTGTATCAACACATTTTCTCAAAGGGTGGTTATACTTGATACTCTCACTTACTTTACGGACTTCCTGTTGAGGAAAAAAAAAAAGAAAGAGTTGTTTCATCATGTTAAATAGATTAAATAATTTTACAGGGTCAGATAAGAGTTCCAGCCCTCCCAATGGAAGAGATAACCATCAGAGCTTAAAAACAATAGAACTTCCTAAAAGCTACAGCTTTACTAGACATCTAATAAAAGATAATTGAAGGAGTATTTATAAAGAACACATATGTATTTAAAAAAAAAAAAAACAACCACGATGCCAGTGTGCAAACACTACTCTGTGAACCTGTGGAGGATTGATTTCTATGCATGAATTTTGCAATGGAAAATACTTTCTTGTTTTAGTTGTAGGTAAAGAGGAGAAGTTTCTATCTTACCTAGTTTAGTTTCACTTTTATTACTTCAAGCAGCTTGATGAGTATCATTTTATATCTTCCTCGCATTTATGTCCACATAGCTCACTTCTGAGACCATTTGGCATTTATCAGTAATAAAAAGATGCTACCTAACAGCTAGATAAGTTGTGTCAGAACTGGCTCTAGCAGTTTATCAGGCTTAGTGAGAACTAGCTTTTATTCTTCATCCTATTGGCAATCCAGAGATAACCTTTTGATGCTTTTTTGTTGTTGTTACAAACAGCACTTTAAAAAAAAAGATGCAAGTTCTACAGTCTGGAGGACAGAAATAATTGTAAAGGCTTAGAAATCTTGTCAAATAGGACGATTAGCAGACAGAAGAATTGTATTTGTTTAGCGTGACAAGGGAGGCTAAATGGATATAGACAGTCCTTTGATACATAAAAGGCTGCTCTAACAGATGACTGTCAGTAATTCTGGATACCCTCTGAATCTCCTGAGGGAATGATCACAAGAGATCTGATTAGTCTGTGACAAAGAATTTTTCATTATGTAGTGGGATTATGAAAAACAAACAAACAAACAAAATCCCGCAAGAATATCTGTAAGGGTCAATCCTAACATATTCAGCCCTGTCAAGTAGAGCACTGGACTGAAAAAAAATTAAAAATACAAAAGTGGGAAGTATCCTCCAGTGCTACAGTTTCTTGTGTTTTCAGAATCTCTGATAAAGGAAGAAAACAAAAGACTAAACTAAAGTGGCTGAGAGCTAAAATTTTGTGATTTATTTGACATAACAGCAATTCATAATATTTACAATCAAGTTCTCAGAGTCAGCACTGCTATTCTTAAGAATTTTTACGTATTTTCACACACTTCAGTGTTCCTGTGAAGGTTGAAAATAAAATACTGGCCAAGATTGCTAAGGTATAGTGCAATTGTTTCTAGACTGAAAGAGAAAAAAAAGTGTGTGGGGGGAAGTGAAGTGCCAAACCTTGAAACAAGGTTTTATCATGCATTAACAATATAATGTATTTTATGTTGTGTATGACATAACCTCAGAATCTGTCAGTCACCCTACCTGACTTAAAGGACAATCTAGTACAAGACAGCAGTCTAGTACAAGACCTTCTTTTCAGGGAAGTTTGCCGCCTCTCTGGGCCCAAATTAGGGACATCACCACAAGACTGAAAAGCTTAGTGCAACCTTCAGACTACTACCCGTTCCTGCTCTGCCATGTGGGTACTAATGATGACACAACAAAAAGTCTGAGGTCAATTAAAAGAGATTTCAGCGCCCCCGGAAGAATGCTAAAAAATTCAGGACCACAGGTAGTGTTTTCCTCAATCCTCCCAGTAATGGGGGGAGACTGGAAGAAACAGGCAAGCCCAGGATACCAATACCTGACTCCAGAACTGGTGCCTCCAACAAAACTTTGGGGTTTTAAACCATGGAAGAGCCTTCGAGGCACAAGGTATGCTGTTTAAGGGGAATAGAACAGAACATCTTCCTTTGGAAGGGACCTACAACAACCATCTAGTCCAACTGCCTGACCAATTCAGGGCCGACCAAAAGTTAAAGCATGTTATTAAGGGCACTGACCAAATGTCTCTTAAGCACTGACAGACTTGGGGCATCGACCACCTCTCTAGGAAGCCTGTTCCAGTGTTTGACCACCCTCTCGGTAAAGAAACGCTTCCGAATGTCCAGTCTAAACCTCCCCTGGCGCAGCTTTGAACCATTCCCACGCATCCTGTCACTGGATACCAGGGGGAAGAGCTCAGCACCTCCCTCTCCAGGCATCTGGACAATGGTCTTAACAATATGCTTTAACTTTTGGTCAGCCCTGAAGTGGTCAGGCAGTTGGACTAGATGATCGTTGTTGGTCCCGTCCAACAGAGATATTCTGTTCTATTCTAAGTGCTAGCCTGGTAAACAAAGTTTTTGTTGCTCATTTTCTAGTAAGTTTTGTAGTTATGTCCCACTCAGATGTTTTTAGCAATTTCTTCAAAATGCCATTACTGAAGAATGAGAATTCCACTATTATTTTATGTTGACGTATCACAGAAGAAGTTCACCCTACCTTACAACTCTTCAGAAGTATTATTTCCAAGCCATGGTATCAGAGCAGCAAAACAGGGAATAGCTATTCAATGGGTTGCATTTCCATTCTGTTCTTGAACTACACTAGTCTATTGCTCACTCACAAATAACAATAAATACAGTCTCAAAAAAAGCTCTTTAAAAAAAAACAATAATCTAGATATTCTCTTCTCAAAAGGCACATAGCATGGTCCTGCAAATCCAACTTGGAAATCTCTTCTCAAGATTCCAGAAACATACTGGCAGCAGAGCATAAAAGCAGACGTACACAATTTGCATGAACGATAGTGAAACATCTGTACACTGTATTTTCAAGTTCACTCTAGAATGTTTTTCATTAGCGACCAATATTCATCCAAAAGGGTCAATACAAAAATAAAACCAACAAATAATGGCTATCAAGTTGCCATGGCTATCAAGTTGCCAAGTTCTTCACATCAGGGACTATTTCTCTTTTGATTTTTACACAGGACTGAGTGGCACACTATGATGATTTTCTTAATTTACTAATATTTCACAGCAAATTCACGCTACTTGTGTTTTCTTGCCACAAGTGCCCAACACCAGGAAATTCAGAGATGATTAACAGCAGCCTTCACTTACTTCATAGCAAAAGCTAGTTACTTACTTCCATAATATCCTCTAAATTCTCCTCTGCATCTGCTTTTTCAGTCATCAGTTTGGCAGCTTTGAAATAGGTCTTCATGAGTAGATAACCCCTTTTGGCCCCATTCCAGTGAGAACGGGGAATTTCCACCAAACCATAACCCAAAAGCAACACAAGAAGAAAGAGACCCCATGTGTTTGCAGCGGCTATCCCAATAGTCTGAAGTTGGTTCCTAAGGAAAAAACCAATAGCAATAACAAAAAAAGAAAAAACAAACAAACAACATCGTCCTGCCCCACCCACAAGAAAGCAACCTTGAAGTATCTATGCACCAATATGGCTTCAAATTTACAGGAACAGACTTAGCATCGTCTGTAATTCCTGCTACTTGGCCATATTTAAAGCTGCCACGATTTTTCTGTATCTCCCCATGCTTCTTCCCTCTCTGGAGGGAAGACAAAAATGTTTGTTCTCAAAGGAGTATGTTCCTTTAGGAAACAACACGAACTTAGCAAACCTATTGCAAGTGAAGTACATGACAGCGTTTACTACTGTATCTAGTATGCAAGACCATTAGCAATGTTATAACTACCCATTATTTTAACTTACCTTATGGGCTTTAAATAGAATCTACAGTAGACAGAAGCACTACACAGGAAATACTGACACAGACTTTTTGAAAGATGTTATTCTGAAAACACTGAGAAAGTTTCTGCACTACTTTGCAAATGCATTTGTAGGGAGAGAAAAAAAAAATTGCAAATAAGAGGATTCCTCGGCCATACATATCAAAATCAGAAATCCAAAAGACAAATTTCTATGAATAGTCAAAAAATCCTTTTCCATAAAAAAAGTTAACAAAACTTTCCAACTGCCTAGCAAAAATCAGATCAACTAAGATTGTTTTTTAAAAAAGACCCATTTCATTTACAGAAGAGATTACCCGTGACAATTTCATAAGAACTTATGCAAGTGCTTACAACATTATTCTTACCACTGTAAATTGAAGTTTGGGTTTACAGCCACATATATTAAAAATGCTCCAAAAATCAGCAAGTAAGTGCCATAATAGATTGCATTCTCAATCAATGCAGTTTTAATCTTTCCAGTAATGGAGAACCCTCCTGATCTAGCATATGACTGCATGAAAGGTAGCAGAATCCTAGAAGGGAAGAAAACAAAACCAAACCACATTAGCCAACCAAAAAAAAAAAAAAAGTTTAGCAGTGGCAGGATACTGAGACAGGGGTGTTTAACCTAAAGACTCCCAAGCATCTAACAAAATTAGCTAGTTACATGTTTTTATTCTAGATGTACTGGTCTGATGGCAAACCTTAAACAAGCTGCAGACAAAAACAACACAGTTAGATTTACTATGAAAAATCTGTGTTAATCAAGTACTCACTACCAACTCTGATATTCTTGACTGAGCTACAAAAATAATTATTTGATGATAGATTGGTCAGAAACCACACATGAACCTAACCCAAAAGCACAATCTCTTTGCTGTAGCTATATTATAGCTTTATATAATATATCCAATAAAACCAAATAATTTACAATATAACTCAAAAATTACCCAACTTATTCATGGAATTATTTTGGTGTCCCGTTGCCTAAACCCCATTTTTTTCAGACAATCTATCCATAAACACCTCTATGTGTAAACTGCTCAGTTTCAACTAGAAAAGTGAACCAAGAGTAAATAGCTGCCACCTGAAAAGGAGCAAAAAAAGAAAAAAAAAAAGCTCAATTTAGTACAGTAATTATTAGAGAAATTTCACTGCTAGCAAATAATATATGATTAGATAGCTCTGTGGAATAGTGATATATAATCTTAAAGAGTATGCTATGACTGCTAATACATTGCACTTAGAAATTATACCTATATCATAATATTTGTCATATTCTTTTGCCTTACTTACCATGTTAAAAACTGCGACGTCCAATATACAACACGCCAGAAAATTGGCATAATTCCATTAGGAATATAACTCCATGGTTTGAAACATTTTTGCTTGCTGTAGCAATGTAAAGCAGCTTATTGTTAGTTGTAGGGCCAAGAGTGTAAGGAACATTTTCTATATATTCCCCTATCTAGAAAGGTCTTTGAAAATAGAAGTAACAGACTACTATTTGAGTAAGTAGTCAAACATCAGCCATCTCAGAAGAAAATAAACTGAATCAATACTTAAAAATATTTATCATTCTCCTCACTGCAAATAACTTATCTAGACAAGACAGCTTTCTTAGAGAAAAAAAACAGTAGCTCAAAGACTAAAGAGAAATAAGCAATTAAGCAATTTAAGGTTACAATTTTTCTTTTTGGGCAGGACGTACTTTCTTCATGCAAAGAAAAAAACATTTCTATACACAGAAGACCATTCAACTTTAGTTAGTGCAGCAGGTTTTTAAAAAATATCTAGGGACCCCATCACCTAGCTCTACTACCGAGAGCATTTAGCAGTAAAAAAAGTGTGTTAGTTGTTTTTTCCGTCACCCAGCTGGATTTAGTCAGGCTTATATAAACTTTGACTTGTTGAGCCAATGCTTTTCTGACAGGTAGTGTTTGCTTCAGACGACCAGAAAAGCCATGAGAGCCTTTTCGTAAAAAAAGAGCAAAAGGCAAAGTGCCCATCCACACTAAGACACTTCGGTTTTTTTTTTTCCCACACCTGTCTGGGTAATGAAGCAATGGTGACTCAAGGGGCAATACAGTCAATTTAATAGGAGTATCTATTGAGAAATAATTGGTGTTTTCCAGGGTCAAACTAGTCAAGCCTGAGTTGTGAGTTTTTACGTACACAGCCTAAAAATTTTCAAAACTATCAAATTACCATAGAATGACAGGTAGTGTGACTAAAGGTTTCAAACAAAGTTTTAAGATCTGACTTGCACCAACACAGTATCTGCTCAATTACTACTTAAGTTGATATTTCTATTTGATGTACTTGTCATATACTACAGTATAACATCCATCAGCTTGTTCTGAAACTATAGGTAAACTGAAAGGCTATTGAATAGTTTTCAAATTGTGTATTTACCTAACTATGTTTAATTAACGTACACTGGGTGATTTTAAATAAAGGGTAAAATGTTTGGCACTAAGTCTGGCATTTTACTGTTCTTCCATGGATATACAACATCCAGATAGCGTCTGCTTTGGGGCAACAAAACTGGCAAGACGTTCCAGGGACATATCAACTGACATCTTAAATGCTCTATCATCTTACAGATAACTAGACTGCACGCATCTACAAGATGTGGAAATAGCCAGTGGAGGCTAAAGAATGAGCAGCCATGGAAAGAGCCCACATTCGCCTACATTTCCCCATGTTTTAGGGATTACTTCCTTCCTACCAGAAGACAGCGAGCAGGCTATCGTTACTTTGGTAGAATATAGTAAATTTCAGATACCTCCAATTACTATATATATGCAATTATAATAAGCGATTAGATATGATGCTTATTATATAAGACAAGCCTGCTAATTTCATTCATAAGGTATAAAATTAGACTTTCAGGTCTAAAGTCTTTAAGGTTATGAAAGAAAGATAAGCATTCACCAAGGCCTCTCCTCATAGATAAGCAAGGTTGCTTGAAAAGCTTAGTTCTGTTGCTTTAACAACAAAATAAAAGAAGTCTTGCATGAAATTAAAAAAAAAAAAGAGGAATATTTAGGTAATCAGTTAGAACTACTGTATAAATTACTACGAATAGATGCAGAGGCACTTTTCTTCACCTCTTCCCTCACCCTCCTCTAGACTTACAATCTTCAAATGTCATTATCACACAGGTAACACTTGTTTATTAGTCTTAAAACCACAGTACACTCCTACCATTTAAAACAAGAAAATAATAAAATACTTCTTTAAAAACAGTCTGACGAAGAAAATATGTAGCTGATACCTTGGAGCAAGAGTAACGTAAGAGCCATTACTTTCTGCAGGGCTGGAGTTAACAGCAAGTTTGCACCGATTATAAATAGTCTAGAAGACAATTAATTTTATATCAGTGACCACAAAAAGGTACAACATTTATTTAAAAATAATGAGTCCCATTTTTAAAGACGTTTACTGTAGTCCATGTTTAGACTTAGGAGCAATTAATACTAATATACCCTCAAAACAACATGCAATCTGCAGGACAAGTAAGTAAAAAACTGAAAGTGTTTTTATGTTGCCTGAACAGATAAAAAAATTGCTATAAACAAATAATGAAATTTTAAAACATCTGAAATAGATTTGTTATCTGATAAGATCAACAAAAAATAAAATTAATTGTAAACACAGACACTGTCATGCAAAAAGGTAACAAGTGTTTAGTTTAATAAGATACTACTTGGAAAATTTATTTGCTGTTTAAGATATTGTCTTCTGAAATTATGGTTAAAAAAAATACCATACAGAAAATCTCGTAAGTTTCTTACCGTACTGACATCCAGAGGCAGTATAAATACAATAAGAAAGCAAAGATACCAAGCCAATAATGTTGCTATGATCACCAGCCTATGCTGTTTCTTGAAGTCTCCATACCGATGAAGCAGGAATAAGGCCAGAAAAAAGACAAATACTATCTCAAGGCCCAACGCTGCACCACTCATTATTGAAAGTTCACTCCAGCCACACAGCGCAGCTCACTTAATAAAGCAGATCAGAACTGTAAGACAAAAAGACATTTAATTACATTAAAATATCTGGAAGTTACTTATGCAGAAAAGAGTTGTTTAACAGACATTTTTAAACATATTAATAGACTTTTCTTATTTCACGACAAGAACTCTTATCAGATGAAGAACAAGATTTTCAGCAAGGTGCTTTAAAGTCCTCTGCAGAAATCAAAATATCATGTCACTCCAATTTTGCCATTTCTAGGAACACATTAGGACAACTCCTCTTCACCTTCTTGATATACAATAGATCCAAAAGTCAAATCTCTGTCCTTGAATAAGACTATAAGCCTAACTTTTAAGTCCAGTATAAATTTCAAAACAAAATCTATTCTGCTTTTTTTTTTCTTTTAGAAGAAATCAACTAATTTGGAAAAAGGGTTAAATGTTTAAATTAATGTTTCTGGAAAGTTTTGTTAATGGATCGTTCCTCAACTATGCATTTAAATTCTGTACTCAGAGATAACAGAGCATAAAAATACAGCAAAGTATATGTTAGTCTACTTGTGACGTACGTCTTTTAGGTTTGAAATTTCATGTAATAAGAGGCAACATGCTAGCTATTTCACCTTCCTACCCCCCTCTTCTGTTCTTGTTCAGAGAAACAAAGGTCTCAATTAATTTGTTATTAGTCTTGCTGTAATATACTTTTGCTCATCCTTCTGGGTTTAGTTACTCTGTGTTATAGTCAGGACTGCTAGAAATACCTACAAAGTTTATACAGCTTCATACAGGCATGCTATTATGCAAAGGGACAGTGAGCTGCACAAATGTATTAGAGAAAATTTCACTGACTTGTTACATTGCTAATTAAACTGCTTCTGACCTTTTTCAATAAGCATCATTTTACCACAGACATTTCACACATTAAAAAAAAAAAGTTTATTACTCTGGTCAGACTGACTTGCTTCTCCATCAGGATTGCCATTTTAGTTGGTTTGATTTAACCGAAATAATTTTTGCTATGGCTTCCCCACTGTTGTTTTTTCAGTGCTTTCACTTTTCACTGGAACTTTAGAGATTTAAAAGAAATGCTACTACTAAAATCTCCCTCAATTTACTTTTAAATCCCTTCATAATTTGTTAAAGTGAACCATTTCCTTTACTAATCTCTCAGTATACTGCTTGAGCAGATCTGTTATGTATGAGGGCACTCATACATAACGTTAAGCAGTGAAATTGTCTTATTTCCACTAAAAAATTCCAAAGTTTGTGATGCCAGTACTTCCTTGAGGACACACAGGACAATTATTCTGTGATTTTTCCCCGAAGATTTGTTTCCCCTCATTTTGCTACTTTCACATTTAATTTCCAAATAGTGAGAGTGGTCTGTTTACTCCATATCGGCTACTGTACACAGAGCACCCCATATTCTGAAAATAGCTTGAGTTACCTTGCTGTTTCTTATCAAAGATGCACACACTTACTTTCTATCTTCTGCCTTTCATCTAATGTGTTTCTCAAATTATCAGCATTTCTGTTAGGTCAAAGCATCCCCTTACTATCTGCCTGTACTACATTTTGGCTAGATCATTTGTAAACCGTGAATGCAGGATATCTAACCTATTTCTCAATCACTTATTCTAAGCAAGTCCTTGTCTATTCTATTGTACCATTCTTGTTTCCTCTGAAAACAGTCTTTTGTATTGATAGTATAGTAGCAAATTCCACCAAAAAATTAATGGAAAAGAAACACTATAGATCTACTTTATTAAGGCAGTACTATCTGACATATGTAGCTTTGGGTGCCCATTATAGCCACACCTTATGCTATGTAAACAAAAAAAATTATACAGCATACTCTCCATTAGTCACACCTGTACAATTTTTTACTACAGTCACACCTAAAAAGCTGCTATCAAAACAGAAGGTGAAAAGTTTTTGTGCAAGATGCTGCTGCACTCAGCTTACTACCATGAGAACTTCCAAAAAGATTATAAACACGTTATGTTGTTATATGTAAGCATATAAATATGCTAAAATAGAGAGGGAATTAAGTCCTACCACAACTTAACTCACTTTCAAAGCCAAAAGCAATTTTGCAGTTATCAAAGTAAACTACATTTTTCTGTTCTTCACCTGGTTCCTCTTGGAATCTCAAAATACAAAATTTTTATCTGAAAAAAAAAAATACTTCTTTATAAAAAAAATTTATATGAAAAATAATTTTTACTAGATTGCCTCTGATTGTCGACAGAGTTGTTTTGAAACAACATATACATATTTTCAAAATTACAGTTCAAAATTTTTAGACAGAAACCACTTAAAACCAGCTCTCAGCACAAATAGCTTAAATGAAAAAAAATTCACAAGGTGAGAAATGCAATGCTTGAGAGGAGCTCTTACTGTGAACTAAATCCTGCCTAACAGGACAGCCGTATTTGGGACCCCTGCTACTAGATTTGTATCAGACCTTAAAATATATTACTGTGGGCTATAAAGCCATGCCTTCCTGTGGCAAGCAGTGTTTCCCTCTGAACCTGGTTGCTAGCTCAAAGAAAGGTAAGTTCCTTATCCGTAATTCTGTTTCTTCATTTTATTTAGACAAGCTTCTCACTATTAGCACACGGCTCCCTAGTATCAGCTGGCTGAAATTCCTGAACCCTTACAGAATGTTCTCCTGAGATCAATGAGCTACTTCAGAAGAGTTCTCTCGTACTGCACAACCTTCACCTGCTTAAAAGATGCTCCTATTAAGCAATGACAAAAACTAACAGAATTCCTCACTCTGAAAGGAAGAGTATCTATTGGCGTACTCTGTTTCTGGAGATTAAGGCAGCTATGGATTAATACAAGTAAGATCAAAAGCTGAAACGCTGGCACTGGAAGTACAACTTAACAAATAAAAGACAAGGACATGCTCTTGTGTAGGCTTAGGATTTTCTTGCTTTGTTTCAGACATAGACAAAATCAGTAAGTTTTTAATTTTGTGAATGGAAGAGTTTGGTTACCCCCATATAGGACACATATTTCAAAATTCTGACATGAAATCCTCTAGAGTCCAAAGCCAGCTAATAACTCTTTGCAAGCACCATAAAGGGCTCAGTTCAGACTTAATTCCCTTGGAGACTCCCTACTATCAACAGTATTAAATTACCTCGCCAACCTCAAGACTAACCACTCTCATGACCATCTACATTACAAATGAACTAACTACTCTGCCTGGTACAGAAATACTCAAGTTACTAAATGAAACAGCAGAGAATGAAAAAACCCACACTTTCTTAGAGCTTTTATATAGCACCAAATTTAACAACAAGGACACTCCAATGTTACATTCTTAAAGAAGGGTTAAAAAGAGTAGAGCATATCTGTGAAGACAGTACCTTGGTCTCACTAAAGTGGACTCCAATACCCCTTTAATCAGAAATCCCAGATCAGAGTGTACCAGTTTTATTCTTTTCAAACTCCACAGGAAAGCATTTTACCAGCAGATTGTTCATTTTGCAGACTAATGTAACTGGGGCTTCAACCCTTCCCCGTCAGTCTAGTATGACACTTTCTGCAGATTTCTCATTGCTGCCCTTGACACTCTCCCCAGCTTACCCACTTCCTTCTACACTGAGCTGGAACCCACGCAGTATCCCAGCTAATGCCTGAGAAGGCCTGAACTGAGAGTAAACGTTGCTTCATGTGCCTTACTGAAATGTATACGTGGAAGTATAACCTGCACGATGTTCCCTTCACATATTCAGCTTCTTATGCCCTCCAAATTCTTTCCCTCTAAGAAACACAACACTGTTCTATCCTGTATTTGTGTAGTTGATTGCTCCTGCTTAAGCGCAGGCGCAAAGCTCTACTCATTTGTACCCTTTCCCCTCCCACAGGCTTCTGAATCTTCAAGGCATTTTGATTTCCACTACCACACTCAAAAAGGTCTGCAATCCCTCCTAGCTTTGTGCCTTCTTAACTTTTAATAATCACATTATTTCATTATGGAAACTGTGAAAATACTGAAGAGTAGCTGACAAGAGACCAGCCTCCTTAATCACAACAGTAGCTGTTCCCAACTGTTCTTCCCCAGCAAAAACATCCTGAGAAACAGACTCAAAAGTCCTATTAAAGACCAAATATAAGATATCAACTGATCCTCTCGTATATAGTAGGCCTATCAGTGTAATAAGTTAGACTACTTCAACAATCTGTCCTTGACAAACTCATGCTGTCTTTTAGTCAGCTGTTATAGTCTAGATGCTTACAAATAGCTTTTGTTCCAGAGTTTTTTTCAGGAATTCAAAAGGAAACAGACTAGTCTGCCAATCTGTAGTTCTCCCTGTCCTTCAAAATAAAGTCAGTCACCATGCTTCTGATTTTCATATCTTTGGTACCTCAGTCACTTTGAGAATATTACATCCTTTTTTTGTTGTTGTTCTTAAAGTGTTCTTGGGTAAAGATCATCAAACATTTTTGGAAAAGTTACATTTCTAGAAATCTTGAATATTTCAGTTAAAACATTTGAAGAACCAAGCAGCTAGAGATTTCTTTACCTTACTCTGTATTCTAAACACCATAATTACATCTGGAAAAAAATTGTCACCAAGAAAGTTACCAAACTATGAAAGAGATATCAAAGACACTAATGGACAAAACTGGGCAAGCGCCACAGCATACTTAAAAGAAACATCCGTGTGACAGCATCTCCCACCTCAAGCTGAATGCACAACTCGGCGGCAGGTATAAACTGAAAGCTGCTATCCCCAGCAAAACATCAATGGCCAGTTCAATGACGACCTTTTGCCTCTCTGTCAAGGAATAATCTGCTGATTCCTATCGAGTTTCTTCCAGCACATTTCACTTGGCAAAAGAAAAACAGCATGCCACAACACACGTGATAGGTTTCTGAAGCCTGCCCTACTCTGCAAAACTACACTGTTAAGAATCCTAAAGTAAGACTTCACTTTACAGACACAAACCTTTTGGACTGATAGAACCGCCCCACACTAAGAGCCTTTGCCACTTCATCTTTAAACAACAAAATGGCATAACTTCACATTTTAGAAATCTTAAAAAGAGAAGAACAAGAGGTCAAGCAACATTAAAAATAATCCCTTCAGCCATTTTTATATCCAAGTCTGTTTAGTGTGTTGTTGGGGTTTCTTTTTTTGTTTGGTTTTGGGTTTTTTGTTGTTGGTTGGGGTTTTTTTTTACTTCCTTGTTACACATTGACCCTCACAGCTTGAGGAAATAGTAAGTACTTATAAGCAGATAACAGACGGACAAAGAGCTTCTTGATCTCAGCACAGTGAGAAAACTATCTAAAGTAAGAAAATAGCCATGAACTGCCTGAGAAAACTGACCAGAGAAGTTATCTGATTGTGCTATTTGGGAGAAATAGCCTCTGAGATGAATCAAGAAAACATAATTTGCATAGCTTTGTTTTTCTAAGAAACACTACTCAGCCTATGTACTGATTGATATTTTATTAGTACCTGTAATTTCAACTATCTTGCAATGAAGAAAAGATTTCAAATTGATTAAACATTTAATTGCTTGTATATCAATATTTAGGTAAAAAAGTTTTGTATCTGCTCCTGACAAGAAAAAAACAATAACATGCTGCACTGACTCTATTCAAAATAGCAGTATTCTCCGATTTGGTGGGAGACTAGGTTCTCCGCAGAAGCACTAAATAAAAGACAAATGCTTTGCCAAGGAACATACGAGATTTTTGTGTTCAAAAGCAAGCAGGGACCATCACTACAAAACCACAGGAAGTTTATTTGCTTTATATGGTGCTGTCTTGACCTCTAATAAAGGATATTAAGTACTACAGAGGCTGATGCTTTCTTAGGGTTTAGGGGAACACTCCGGAAATAACACGTTGAAGAAAACAACTTGCTTGGAGGAACTAAAATAGAATCAGTTACAAAAGCTGTACAGTTGCAATAAGAATCTAAAAAAAGAACAGAAATTGCTACCTGGGCTGCCAGACTAATGCACTCACACAAAACAGGTGTCAGTAAGGCAGTCAATCACATGATTACAACCCTAACTTTGCATTAAGACAAACTTAGACTATTTGGTAATTCAGAACTTTTTTTAAAAATAATTTGATTTTACCCCTTTCAGCAAATTCTTCTTTCAATTTCCCATGCATTAATAGAGAAAAGTGAAAGCGTTGAAAACAAAAGGGGGCTGCTGAACAGGTTAAATATAATCAGCTTATTTTTTTAAACTAAAAAATCTCTCTTTCATTTGATTATCCACTTAAACAACCTTTAAACAACTGTTCCATGACTTTAGTTAAAACGGGAAATGGTTAACACAAATTCTTTTTTAAGATTATATGAATGCCAATTTGCATCACATCATCGTCTCTATCTGACTTAATAGTTGTGTACTATTTGCCATGCGTTCTATTACCATCCTCAATTTTACAGGCACGTCTCTCCATCGTTATGCAGTAAACAAAGGACAGCATTTACAAGCAAGAGGCTGACTAAGGGCAGAGTTGTAGGTGTGTTCAGAATTAGTTTTCCATCCCCACCAATTTCAAAACAAGTAGTTTGGAGAAAAAGCACGAAGAGCTGCCTTACTGAAAGAAAGCTTGGCATAAATCTGAAACACAGTGTGAAAAGACTGCAGAGATTAAACTCGGGTGGTTAAGGATAGGACCAGAATACACTGGCAGTCCCTCAACTTCAGGCCTTCACAGCAAAGGCGTTTCCAAAACGCAGGAAAACCTTTCACGGTAAAATGTCAGAGTCAGCGTGATTCTGGTCTTCCAAAGCAGGTGCCGTCACTGCACATGAAAGCCGTTAAACCTGATGACCGTATATCCACCGGCTGTAGGGCACACAGAATCGGAGTCTACAGACACTTAACAAACATCAGCATGCATGCCTTAAACGTACGTGCTTGGGGTCCCTGAAGGAAAGAAAAAAATAGGGGCCAAGAGCCCAAAAACGAAGAGGCCGATTCCTCCCGTCCCCCTCGCCTCTCCCAGACACCCCCCAGAC